TGAGGCAGACATGATTGGCTAGGAGAAAGGCAAGTCGAAAGAATGATAAAAAGGAGGAGTACTAACTAAACACCCCCTGATAATCCTAGGGTCAGCACTGTACCTCCCAAAAGTAAGAATTCGCACAGTGGAGTTCCAATCCACAAAGCGGGAAAGAGGAGATAGGCAACGATTGCAATTTCAAAAGAAAAAGAATCAAAAAACCTAGAAAAATAATGGCCACCTCGAAGATGAGGGATCTAGAGTGAGGAAAGGCAAGAGAAAGAGAAAGGGGCAGAAAGAAGCGTACCTAGACAGGGAAAAGAACATCAAACAACAACCAAAGGAAAAAATTAGAGGAGAAGAGCAAAGTAGGACTTCGAGTCGAACCCATAAAGCACAATCTTGAGCAGAGAATAAGAGAATCGCGTGGAGGAAAGCCTAGAAGTCGCAGAGAGAAAGAGTCAGAGACGAAGGTGAACAATGTAGAAGATAAACAGTGGTTTTGTGCGGTTTTCTTTTAGTCGTTTAAGCATTTAAGGCTTGAAAGACATGGAATGAGGCGTGTGCGGAAACCAAGAGAGCCATGATTACTGTAACCATCAAAAAGTCCCTCCCACGTGCATCTCACATGTAGACTAAGGTCAGCTAGGCGTAGGTCTGGTCTAAGGTGAAAGCAGCTCAGCCCATGCCCAAGCTCGCTTGGGCCAAGGGCTGGGGGGGGGGGGAACAACTGATGATACCTCAAAATAAATTTCAAGTGCCAGCTCAAGAGGTCATATTAGCCCAGGAGGTCAGACTAGGCAAGCAGAACTCAGAAGAGTAGAGCTGGAGGTCCCCTCGAGATAAGCAATGACAATGACAACCAAGGCAACAGTTGGATAATCATGAGAGGTTCCTAAAGCGTTAGACAGCTATAATCAAGGCACCTAATCTCACCCAACCAAGATCTTCTCCTAAAATTAAGGAGAACCCCATGAAGTAAGGACAAGAATTTTGGCCAGGATCCCACTTAGCAGGGAATGACCCTATAAATGCAATGTAACACCTCCTAATAGAGAAGAGGGGGAACCCTAGTGGCACAAAGAAGTCATAACAACCTTATAATCACCGTGAATGAAACAAAAGGAGCAAGAGTCTTTATTCCAGAGTGGACTAGCCGAGCTCCCGAGCTGGTTAACCACTATAATTCTGTAGTCTTAACTTCCAAAGCCCTGGATATTATGGCATCATCATAGCAACCTAACGGAATCCCAGCCCATCTTTTATAAAAGTGCGTTAACACCATCACTATTATTTTTTTTTTACAAATTGGTATGCATGGTATGTAGTGATAATGATAAATATTATATGCATGACTAAAATAGTGTCATTTATTATTTTTGAATATGTGTAGATCAAAGTGGTGATGATGATGATGATGATGTTGAAGAGAATTATGTTTACGGTAATATTGATGTCCCAAATGGTGTGTTAAGTAGCCAAAATAATGAATTTGAGTTAAAATTTGGCACGGTTGCATATAGTGAAGAAGAAGCTTTTATTATGTATAACAAATATGCATATTACAAAGGTTTCAGCATTCAAAGAGATCAAAAGAGTTTTAAAAGAAACAGTGGTGAACTTATTCGTCGCAACTTTGTGTGTTCAAAAGAGGGGTTTAGGGAATTTATAGATCCTACCCAAGTGAAGAAGGTGGAGAGGTTAGAGACTAGATGTGGTTGTAGGACTCGAGTGGTGTTTAAAGTAGAAAATGGTGTTTATACAATTAGCCAATTAATCACCGAGCACAATCACCCATTTGTTGAACCAAACCAAAGGCATTTAATAAGGTCTTCACGTACAATGCATAACACAAGTAAGGGAGTTATCAAATCTATGAGTGAAGTTGGTATAAGAGCAACCAAGACATATGCATACTTGTTAAATGAAGCAGGTGGTTATCAAAATGGTGGATTTACTGAGCGTGATTGTCAAAATTTTATACAAGTTGAACGATCAAAAAAGATTGAAGCTGGTGATGGACAGAGTTTAATAAATTATTTCAAGCACAAGCAAACAATAGAGCAATTACTTTTTTATACTGTACAAGTTGATGAAGAGAATCGAATGACAAATTTTTTTTGGAGGAATGGATTATCAAAATTGGATTATGAATGTTTTGAAGATGTTGTAGTTTTTGACACTACCTACTGTACGAACAAATATAACATGATTTGTGCTCTATTTGTTGGGGTTAATCATCATTGGAAAAATGTGTTATTTGGTTGCGCATTTTTATGTGATGAGACAACAACTTCATTCGTTTGGTTGTTTGAGACTTTTCTTGAAGCTATGGATCATAAGGCACCCAAAACTATTTTTACTAATCAAGACCATGCGATGGCAAATGTCATTGCGAGAGTACTTCCTAATACACAACATCGCTTATGTCAGTGGCATATCTCAAAAAATGTTGCTTCGAATATTTCTGGTCTTTATCAACAATCTGGTTTTAGGGAGATGTTCTCATATCTTTTGTATAAACGTGAAAGTGAAAGCAAATTTGAAGAAATAGGGTTGTTTGAATGAGTCATGGCTTCGAAAAATATATGATCTTTGTCGAAAATGGGCTCCAATCTTTAGTCGTGATACATTTTCATACAACATTCGGGCTAGTCAAAGGAGTGAAAGTACAAATAATGTTTTCCAACATATGACTTGCAAGACAATGAGTCTTACTGAATTTGTGCATCACTATGAACAAAATGCTGAAAAGATGCATGAGGTTGAAGTGAATGATGATCCCAATTGTGCTCATGGAAAACCTTGTATTATTTGTCGTGGTAGTGGGCTTCTTAGACATGCATGTAAGATGTATACGCATAAAATATTTGCAGTGTTTCAAGACGAGTTTTTGCAATCTCTTTCTGAAGTAGAAGTTGAATCCACTTGTATTGATGCACTGCACACGTATAAGTAGAAAAGGGAGGGTGGTCACCAAGAACACATGATACAGTTTAACTCCTCTGATTATTCACTATCATGTAGTTGTAAGCAATTTCAGTCATTGAGATTGTTGTGCCGCCATGCATTGAGAGTTTTAAATTTGAATGGTGTCAATAAAATTCTCGAACAGTATATATTGAGGAGGTGGACAAAAGCTGCGAAGGATGGGATTTTAATGGATAGACAAAATGTTCCACTATTGGATACTAGTGGAAACTCAGCAAAAACAGTGTGGCTCAACAAGTTAATGCGCAAAGCATTTAGTCTTATGAATTTGAGTGTTAATTCTAATGCCAAAACTGAGATTGCAGATCATGATATGGACAATACATTTGAGAAAGTTACAAAATTTAATGCAATATCTAGTGAAAAGGATACATTTGAAAATGATAGAAATATTTCTTTATCAAGAAATGAGACTCCAATATTGGATTCCCCGAGATTGAGAAAAAAAGGTCAAACATATGGTCGAATGAAAGGTTTTCTGGAGGAAAAAAATAAATTTTAGAAAGGTAGATGTGAGCATATCTCAAATACCATAACCAATTAATGCTATGACAAGTAAAAATAATTTTTACAATATAAAATGAATACTTTAATTTTCTCTCTTTTTTATTCTAGGAATGCAATCATCTATGTTAGGTGCTTCATCTTTACATTCGTTTGGGATGCAAATGAGTGAAAACTACCAAAACCAGGTATGATTATACTTTTAAACAAATTTTTATCCACATGAATCTTATATTTTTTTTTGTTTGAAAGTGTATTATCAAATTATTCGTTGTTTCATTCTTTGTAGTTTGTTCCCATGTTTGGTATGACAACACCAAATATTCATACAAGCATGCATGTGACCAATTCGGTATTTTTGTCAAATGGTTATATACAATTAAAATAAACTCATTAAAGTTAAGTATGTATTTTAATTGTTATTATCTATTGTTGATACAGATGCAGATGTTTCAATACTCAAATATGTCTTTCACAAGTTTGTTACAAACAAACTTCCCTATGTCCCATTTAAGTCAGGTATGTTTTCTACATCTAACTTATATAAAAGTATTTTCTTATGTACTACCTAAACTAACAAAAAAAATATGACAATCTTGCAGGGTACTTCCAACAATGTCATAGGAAGTTCAAATTCTCTCAATCTATCAGACATGAATCAAGAATTTGAGCATAATAAATAGAATGTCTATTGAGTGAAAATTGTAGTGAATCCATGAGACGATAGTTTTTTTTGGCTGAGATGTTTCAATTTGATTTGGTCAATGTTGGGTTAAGTATGAACAAAAGTATTTCAATTTGATTTGGTCAATGTTGAATTGCATGTATTTTTTTTATTTTAAATATTGGATGTAATGAGATTATAAATCTCATAGCATGGTCAGTCTTTTTGTAACGTTGTGTAGCTGTTGTTTTTTTTTTGTTAAGTCAGGCCCTCTCGCTCTCTCTCTTTCTCTCTTTGTGCCAGTGCAATGAAAAGGTAAAAATTATAAAAAATAAAACAAGATAAGATTGTCAATAGGTGAAGAAAGAGGAGGATATGAGTCAACGATTTCTAGATAAATAAAAAGGCCAAAAAATGGTGAGAGTAAGAGTTAATAATACATTTAGTGTAATATTTAGTAATTTGGGGTAATTTTAAACTTATTTATTAAATTAAAAAATATATTTGATAAATATATGTTTCTTAAAAAATTTAATCGTCATGTTTCCTCTATTAATAGATATACACATTAACAAAGATGTACAAGTGTAAACAAACAAAATAGATCCAATAAATAATGGCCAAATTGCAAGCACAGGAAAAACAAAAGAATGGAATTTATAGTGACAATTCAAAATTCAAATTAATGGCGCTGGTTCAAAATTTGAAATTTTTATTATTGAAATGGAAAAATTATAAAAAAAAAAAAAAGGGGTAAAAACTAAATTGACATGACATATCACAGTATAAAGAGAAAACAAAAGAAGAGACGGACGTTAAGGAATAACTTTATTTAGGTGAGTGAGTCGAATCTAATGATCTGATAAAATTTTGGATACATTGCTCTTTCTCTGCGCGCTCTCTCTCTCTCTCTCTTCTGTAAAATCCGTCATTGTTGACAAAATCCACAATCCATTTTCTCCTTATCCTTCTCAACCTCACACACCACCGCTGCTTCCCCATGGCTGAACCAACCACCATATCCAACCCAATTCCAAACCTCTCTCTCCCACTCCAAGATCGCGTCGCCGTCGTCACCGGCGGCTCTCGAGGGATCGGCCGAGCCATTGCCATCCACCTCGCCTCCCTCGGCGCAAATCTCGTCATCAACTACACCTCCAACTCCGCCCAAGCAGACCTCGTGGCCACACAAATCAACGACACCTCTTCCACCACCCCACGAGCCGTCACCGTCCAAGCAGATATCTCTGACCCAACCCAAGTCAAGTCGCTATTCGACGCTGCCGAGTCCGCTTTCCACTCGCCACTCCACATTTTAGTCAATTCCGCCGGAGTACTTGACCCCAAATACCCATCCATACTCAATACAACAATCGAGGACTTCGACAAGACTTTCACCGTCAATACCAGAGGAGCGTTCTTGTGCTGTAAAGAGGCGGCGAATAGGCTGAAGCGCGGCGGAGGTGGGAGGATAATCTGTTTAACGTCGTCGACGGTGGCGTCGTTGAGGCTTGGGTTTGGGGCCTACGTGGCGTCGAAGGCGGCAGTGGAGGCGATGGTGAAGATACTGGCGAAGGAGTTGAAAGGGACTGGGATTACGGCGAACTGTGTAGCGCCGGGGCCGATTGCGACGGAGATGTTCTTCGCCGGAAAGACGGAGGAGATGGTGAAGATGGTGGTGGAGGAGTGTCCGCTTAGTAGGCTGGGACAGACGGAGGATGTGGCTCCGGTGGTTGGGTTCTTGGCCAGTGACGCCGGTGAATGGGTTAATGGTCAGATCGTTCGTGTCAATGGTGGCTATGTCTAAATGTGTGTGTGTGTGTGAAACAAATAATGGGAAATCTCATAAATGCCCCTGAACTATGGCCTTTATTTTAAATTATCCCCTGAATTTTCGATTATCTTAGTTTCCACTCTAAACTATGTAATTTTTTTTAAAACAGATGTCGTTAACCGAGAATTTATCGGTTAATTTTAGTGGAAGGGGTCGATTAAAGCAATTAGATAGTTCAAAAGATAAATTGAAATAATTAAAAATTTAGATATTAATTTAAAACAAAATCCATAATTAAAGGGCATTTAATTCATTCAACTAACAGCTTTCTCTCAACTATTATTTCTTCCTGATTTAATCCAGAATTATGCAGGGTTTCTAGTAAGATTATTCATTCATGGGTTACGAATATTTAGATTTTTTCCAGTTTATAACATTGAAACATTTTAATCATTATGAAATAGTTCAAAAGTATTAAAATTTTGATTTCATTATTAATTTGTTTTGGCCTCTTTAAAAAATGAAAATGTGACAACACAATAACAAGTGCAACTAAGGATTAAAATTTTGTTTTAATCAATTAAAAAACAAAAATATTTTGAAAACGTTTTGCATTTATTTTTGAAACAAAATAGAAATGAATAAAAAATTTAAGAATTTGGTATTAATACATTTTTCAAAATATGCCAAAGAATGTTGAAAAATATTTTGAAATAATGATGTAAATATATTAAAATATCTCGAAACATTTTCAATTATTGAAAATTTGATTTCATCATTGATTTATTTCAATTTCTTTAAAAACAGAAATGTTTTGACAATTTTGAAATAAAATTTTAATCTGGGGTGTGCGTTACCGTTGCGTGATAGGTTGATACATGTATTTTCTTATAATGGCTCAACCGCATTGAGCACTTTTTGGTAATGGACAATTGTTTCAACCATGCTAACAACAATTTTGCATTGAACTACAGCAGTATGAAAAATGAGAAAGTTGGAGAAGTGATGAATAGGCAATTATGAACCACGGATACGGATACGGATATGGATACGGATACGAATATGAGATATAGAATATGGGTATAATACGATACGGATACCACAATAGGTCAAATTCTTAAAAAGTAAGATACGGGTACGGCTATGATACGACTATAATAAAATATATTTAATATTTTTATTATTTCCAACCAACTTAATATTTATATATTTTTATAGTTCTTTAATATACAATAAAAAAATTAGTAATTTTTTTTTAGTTTCAAGAAAATATATATCGTATCGCTGTAATATATTCACAAAGTTAAGTGACTAATTAAAAGGATCAAAACTAATATTTACCTAATATTTAAAAGTAATTTTTGATAAGATAATAATGTAATAGTTTTATTATATGCTCTTTTGACATGTAATTGTAGATAATACTTAAGAAACACTTGTGTGCTTTTGAAGTAATATGAATTTTTTGTTAATGTATTATATGATATGTGAATTTGAACAGAGATATTAAAAGTTCAACTCAAAAATTATATATGTTGCTCGACCACAAAAGTATCCTTGAAGTATTATAATATTTAATTATTATTAAATACGTAAAAAGTGTATCCAATACGTATTTTCGAGTATCTGACGAGTATCGTATCCGATACGGGTACGTCAACCTCAACAAAATATCCATGCTTCATAGATAGGCAATAACCATCCTTAAGTGTGATCACAATAATCTTCTCTATCGTGGTTATTAATTCAAAAGGACAATCTATCACCATAGCATCACCAAAGCCAAACAACAAATCACATTACTCCCATGAATCAAACGTTGCTTGATATCCACGTGGGAGTCAATCGAATCCTGTTTGATATTCAAATTAGAGTCAAAAACAACCATAAACAAGTACAATTTACGACTAAACCACCGTCAGCTCGGGTGGTGAACTACAGCAGTTGAAAGCCTAAAAAGGAAATGGTCAACTACAACTTATGAAAGCCAATCCCAATTCCCAAGCAGTCAGGGTAAATCAAAAGATAACTTTCATTAACAACGCCGCCAATTTATTACAACAGAAATTTATCATTTTTCTCTACAAACAGAAAAAAAAAAAAAAAAAGGGGCAAAGTATCAGATATACACAATCTTATCAGACACATAAAAATGATATTTCCCTGACTCAAACCGGTTACACCCAAGTCATAACAAAGCAAATTTACCATTACCAGCAAAAACAGAAACACATTTACCATTACCAGCTAAAAAAACTGTGCCAAACCCTACCCTAAAAAAAATAAAGAAAAATTGCAAGTCCCTTGCTATCGTTCCTTGAGATGCTATCTAGGATAATATGCTGCTCAACTTGATTTTGACGGACTTTCCCTGAGATGCTTCCACAAGGAAGTAAACAAGCTTTGAACATTAGAAATGACAAAGTAGAACCAGAACAAGATATACATCACCAGACTAATATCAGTGTCACTCTACATCAGTATTAATAACATTAGATGAAGAGTGGTGGGACAATTGGATAAAGTTAGATGGTTACACCGGCACAATTCATAAAAAGTTTCATGCTGAGAGTTCTTGGCAAATAACTAGGACAACATTAGGAATATACAAACCACATCAGAAATTGGTGTTACGGCTCTAAATATGGCTTTGATAGGTATTGCCGCCACTCTTGAGGCATCCCCTTCCTCGTTCTTAACATCTTTATAGCTGATGTCGTCAGGGGTATCGCAACTAGGTCATAATCCTTTGGAGCCTACAAAGGAAAGAAGGAATGGGGTTTCATTTTCTATATATTAATCCAGAAGAAAACGAGCACTTTGGATGACTAATCCATTGAGACTTCGTAATTGGAAAAATAAACTTGTTTCATTGATTCTCCATTGGAAAATCTTTGTACATCCAGCTGGGACAAAAACACATTCACCAGCATAGCTAGTGCTGGTGGTTGCCAAATTGGATATAAAAACTATTTTCTAATTTTTTTTGGACCTAATGAATGCAATGAAATCGAATTTGAAACAAGTTTCACTAGTAAGAAAGCTATGGCAAAAAAGCAATAGGCAATACCTTGGGGACCTTAATTAGCATCATGTTTGCTTCATCTATGGTTTTTTGGCCTTTTCTGGAGTTGCATTTGGCACAAGCAGTAACCTGTTTCATGTAAGAACCACAACAATATTGAAAGAAATTGTTTATAAGAATAATTATCAACAATATAATCATGTTTCCTTATTTTTCCATGTTTCCTACCCATGCCACATCCCCAATATTTGCTTCCAAAACTGGTTTTGTGTAGAACATGGAACAACACTATTGAAAAAAACTCTTTATACTGACATAATTCCATTAAGAAATACAGTCATATCAAAATTATTTATCCACATGCATCCTTTATTCAAAGATTGTTCCAAAAATCTAGGCTCTCCTGGTCATATTGAGCCATCAAAAAGCATGGTGTTTGGTTGGGAGGGTGGGCAGGACAAACATTATAAATATATGGCAACAACATACAGGTGAGGCGAATTCCTTCTTCATCTTCTTACCAAATTTTCCCATGTCCATTCTCCACCACGTGCAATTGGCAAGACATGGTCAATGGTCAAGTTCTCACCCGATGAACAATACCTGTTGACAGTAGAAATACAGTCAAGAAAATAACAGTTTATGATCTGATACACCTGCTAATCTTTTCCTTAATTGTAAAGGAAGAGTTTTTATACATAAGGAATCTTACAACAGAAAACACCCAAAAAAATTTCTCCATGTCCCCACCAAGCAATAAGGATAACCAAATGGATGCCCTCATGAGACAAAAGTGGTTAGTGTTCTTTTGCAATGTTTACTCCCTCAGCAATAGGAAATAACATGCAGAAAGCATATCTTTGTTTCAGACAGCTCTGAATATTGAAAAAGACACTAAAGCGTTCTATGTTCTATGCATATACATTTGCAGTATGGCTCTAGTTAACTTTGATATTTTCCTCCTATTATCCCTACCAACCCACACAATGCTGTGTCTATAGATTGCTAGGTGTTCTCTAAAAGATATTCCTGGACTATGTTAATGTTCAATAGCAATTTCTCGATTCCGATTAACTTCTTGAACTCGGAGGTGGCNTGTGTCTATAGATTGCTAGGTGTTCTCTAAAAGATATTCCTGGACTACGTTAATGTTCAATAGCAATTTCTCGATTCCGATTAACTTCTTGAACTCGGAGGTGGCAGGGACCAGCAGAACTATCTGATGAGAAATGTTACAATCATATTCTTTTGGGTAATAATGTCGGATTTGGTCATGATCATATTTCTTTTTGGGTTACACTGCTACCTAGTGGCAGAGCACTTAGTGACAAATGAAACTGTCTCGTCAAAGGTTACAAAGTTTGATTTGGTGTACAGCTGAATTTCAGTTGACATTAAACTAGAAAAATATCAATTAATTAAAAGTGCTACACTGCTACCCAGTGGCAGAGTACTTACTGACACATGAAACTGTCTCGTCGAAGTATATTTTTGCGACTAAGATTGCTTTTGATTCTTCTTCTCCTGACAACCTGCAGTAAATGTGGAACCTGGAAGGATAGACACAGCAAAGCCCAATGGAGTGTTCGTTATTGTTTTGAGGAAGAGCAAATGGGTAAGGGGTGAGAAGTAACAAAGATAAAAAGGGCTAAGAATTTATTTCTCCTTATTCCATACCCTTAAGACGGCAGGTATATAAAAAGATCCACTAGGAGAGTTTACAGTTTGGTCATAATATTCTAGAACATCAGCCTGCATAGAAACAAAATCACAAACTTGATATTTCTTTACGTATATGCCTTGTACGTGCACACCAAGGGAGAGTAGGAGCGTGTTTATATACAACAACAACAAGAGCTTATCAAAACCAAAGATCACATGCACCAGAATTAAAAATAAGAAGGAATCCTGATTCCTCAGCAACCCTTGGTGTGGTTTGGTAAAGTCATTGCCCACTTTATACCCAATTCATCGAGGGTGTTGGGAGAGGTGGAGTGGGAACGGACCTAATCTTTAGCATTATTTGTACAAAGTGGGTACCCTCAAATTTGAATCCACGACCTCTTGGTAGTTAGACCAACACTTTTACTACTACACAGGGCAATGGCCCCTCAAAAAGCAATTTGGATTTCAAACTCAAAAAAATAGGGAATCTAATATGTAACAAGAACATTATCTCCAATAAAGAATTTCCTTTCCTTGGCACAATGAATAGCTGCAGAAATAACCAAAAATGACAAATGCAGAAATAAAAGCTCACTAACGTATAAAGGCAGTCAATGAGCCAAAGCAGTCTAACCTTCTCCATGAATTCCAAACAAATAGCTCGCTTCCAGCAGACAACATTGACAGGCCTGGCACATTGCACTCATGGTCATTTCAATTTGATCATTATAACAACTCTACAAGAAGACGAAGCACAAAATACTATCATGGGTCCGAAACTCAATTAAATTCGTGAAACAGCAATAATTGAACATAATGGCCCATAATACTATCATGGGTCCGAAATCTGTAGAAATAAACCATCAAACAGCTCTGAGATACTTCACCAACGTTCAGCTCATTAGAGTGGATACTAAGCATGCAAACAATATTCCAATAGATATTAAATTGAAGGGAACCGAAAATTCAAGGCAAATAAAGTTTTTAGGAAGCTTGGAGATTCAAACTTTCCAGGAATTAAATTATCAATAAGTTTTATGGCCTTTTTAGGTTCGTCAGTATTTTTCTAACTTTGGTTTGAGGCAAAGAGAAGGCCGATAGATGGGACTTCGATTGTGAACTTCCTTGTGTAATCTGGGTCAGCTTTAATGAATTCAATGGTTTAAATATAGTTTCGAATTGCGTATAAGAACAAAGGCATGATTACCTAGGTTCCTCTCATGCACTTTTCTCTCTCTTTTCTTCTTCTTGAACTCTAAAATTAGAAAACGCCCTAAGCCTTAGATTGCTTATATCCTTAACATAGGTGGTCCAACAATTCTAAAAGTATATAGCCCAGCTTTCACCGCTACTATTGTCAATTAGTACTTACAACCACCCCCCCCCCCCCCCCCCCCCCCCCCCC